CACTGGTTCTGTTTTTACTACAAAAGAGAAAGAAACGACTTTCGTGACAAGAAAGGACAATAAAAAGAAAACAGGATTCAGGAAGACATAAGATGGCGATTGGCGTTGGATTTAATTTTTTTATAAATTGTAGGTAACTCACATGACAGATATGAGGGAATGAGGGTTAGACGGAAGCCGAGCGTAACATACTTGATTGGTTTGGACAAATGGATGTCGGAACAGGGTTTGGGAGAAATAACAAAAACACAAAACTTGTTGAGAGCGACAAGAGACTAGAATGAGCTGAGGGTCATGATCGGTAAATTATACGCTACCAGCGGATATCTAACGCATTTGATTAAATATAAGGTACACTTTCTTTCCGAAAAATGCCTCAAAATTTGCCGTCCGACATTGACGTCTGCCGTCAACTAATTTTATCCCCCAATTAAAGTCTGCTATTGAACATAGCAGACTTTAATTTTATCTCAAGTTTCTACCTCGCCCGGAATCATAATAGGATTTGTGGTGATGGTATTATTATTATTAGGATTATCATTAATATTGTTATTACTATTATTTGATTACTGTTATTAGTATTGCTATTATTATTGATATTGTTGCTATTACTATTATTAATATTGTTTTTATTAGGATTATTATTGCTATTATTAATAATACTGATACTATTACCGTTACTGTTAGTAAATTTATTATGATTATTGTTGCTATTAATGTTATTACTATTATTAACATTATTTTATTACGATTGTTATTGCTATATTATAATATTGATATTATTATTACTATGATTGCTATTATTTTAATTACGATTATTAATATTGATATTATTATTGATATTGTTATTATTATTATTTTAATTTGATTATTATTATTTTATTACGATTATTATTACTGTTAATATTATTTTATTACTATTATTACTATTATTTTTATTACGGTTATTATTATTATTATTATTATTCCGATTATTACTAATGCTATCATTATTACTATTATTTTTATTACGACTATTATTATTATTGCTATTATTATCATTACTATTATTTCTATTATTATTATTACAGCTATTGGTATAGCTATTACTATTGGTATTATTACGATTATTATTATTATTACTATTGTTATGCTTGTTATTACTATTATTATTTTTGTTAAAGTAATTAACCGGCTCGGCCCTGTCGATAACAACATAATCTATCAACCCTCCCTATTGTTCACTCCCTAAAAACTACAGAAGAAAGACACGTTACTGAAAAGAAATATTTGAGAGTCATCACATTAAAACCGCAGAGAAATATATCCCTCACACAAAGTGTAACTGATGAAGGATTGGGTGCGTTTACATGACGTGAGTACTTTTAGTTTGACTACTTGATACCGGTAGATTAAACAGTAATTTTGCTGGCCGAGTTTATAGAATGTCACCCTCATGCATAGAGGTACAAGAGATTAAGCCACATAGTTGGCTTCAAGCTGCAATTACTACACGAAGGATCATGAGAATAGGGCAACAGTAAGGCTTTTGTTCCACCGGTTGGTTAAGTGAAGCTGTAAGATTCCCTTTGATGCACAGCATCGTTACACTAGCCAATTTCGTTATTGTTGTTGCTGTTTTTACCAAACGTAGTCGAGCTTTCTTTTTAGCAACTTGTTGATAAACAACTATATTTCAATTTTACTCATTTTTAAACAAACTGTTTCCACATTACACGTCTAACATCTTTGACTGCACTTTGAAATGTTATTCACTAATTCAATCGTGATCTCTTCAAGCCTAAAGTTGGCTGCTATCTTTCCGACATAGCCACAAGAATTTCACTTCTTGTCCTTTCTTATGCTAATACAATAATACAATACCAATAAATCTCTGTCTTTACTGACAAAAAACAATTTAAGCATAAAATATCTTCTTTCTTTTTTTAAATCACTATGAAACCAAATCTGTTATTTTAAATGCAGTAATTACTTTTTTGATTTAAAGAAAAATAATTATTGGTGTTAATTTGTTAAAATACATTGACAATATATTTTCTTTAATAAATAGTGGAATGTCGATCCTATAGTTATTTTCTGTTAAACAGAAAAAAAAATTATACATAATTCTTTCCAACCATTTGGCATGACACTTCACGAATCTCATTTGGAAAAATAGAGACCTCCAGTCCTATTCTTGTGAAATCTAGACCCCTGAGTCTTTGCAATGGCATCAGCTTCATTATCCAGTTATTTCTTCCGAACATTGCCAGGTATCCCCACTAGTTAGAAAGAAGGGAATGGAAATATAATTGTTTTTTGAGTCGTTTAATAATTTGGTGTGCTCTTAAATTTTATTTACTAATTATTTTTTTTCTAACTGACAAGGTTTGCCTATTGTCCATTTCACACTCCTCCCCAGTTTTTTGGGGTTTTTTTTAACAAGAGATTTATCTCTTAATTAGGTTTCCAGTTCCTTCTACGCTAATACGTCTAACATCTCTGACTGAACTCTGAAATGTCATTCACTAATTAAATCTTGATTTCTTCAAGTCTAGAGTTAGTTATCTTTCCGATATAGCCCCAAGAATTTCATTTTTTTGCCTCTTTCGTATCCAACCACAGAGTAATTCCCTATCTTGAGTGCATTTGGGCCTTGGGCAAATATTAGTAAAAACAAAAATAAAAATAAAAATATTACTGACTTCAGTGTGACTTAAGCAGTTCAAAAACGATAAAAAAAAAGAAAACGTAATATTAAACAAAAAAAGGAAACGTAATATTAAACCAAAAAATATTACTAAATGTCTTCAGAATTCATGCCGATTGATGGTCCACTTGTAAAAAATAAGGAATAAATTTTTAAGCGATTATTGGACATTAGCATCCATTAGACCGTCCTTAAGTCTTTACCAGAATCGAAAGATCTTGATTTTTATTCTTTTAGGAAGTGGGGGTCAAGTTCATAATAAAAATACAGTGTCAAATCGATCCCTGTTTTGATATGGAGTTTTCTGATAACAGCTTACTAATACGAATTTGGAACACTAAAACATCAATATCAATTACCAAAGCACAGTTTAAAACTTGACATTTGTAAATAAAAACAAACTCCAGATAACTCTTTAAGAAAACAGCGATCGCTTTATGACGATATTTAGTCACCCCCGCCCCCACGAGGGTGTCATGTGGCACAAGGCCTTTTTAACGTGGGAATTCCCGAGCCATTAGGCTCGGCCAAAAAAATAGCCCATTTGAACCCGTATAAACGGGTTCAGGGCCGGTTTTACCTCCCCGAAGGAGATTCCGCCCTTCGGCGTAGCCTCCTTCGGGTTCCTCTCGCCCGTAGGAAGAGAGTTTAACCGAACAGTCACACCAGAAAGTGAGCGAGCGATGTCGCTCGGTGTGCGATCGCTTTATGACTGTGTTGATATTATGAACAGGAATCGCCTTCTAAAATGATGAAAAAAATTCACCATTTGTCGATTCTGGCAATTGTTCTGGATTGGTTTCAGTGAGGTTTAATGGATGTTAACCAAGAAAATTCTAACAGTTCTACTGGTTTAGCTATATTGAAATTGTGACACTATTTAGCGGTCGCGTGAAAATGAAAAGCGAGAAATAATTAAGGCGAGAAGAAGCTATCATGAAAAGACATACTGAGCGATGTTATTTTTTTTGACAAAGAAAAATGGTGAAGATTTTGTTTTCGTTTGCGAAAAGAAAAAGTATTTTTTTTTTCTCGCAGAAGATAGGAGATTCGTAAGATCTCGGATCTGTCGAATTAATTTATGTTACGAGGCGGCGAATAAAAGATAGCCATCTGCCCATGGCAATAATGAAAATTTCAAATTGGTCAAGTGGCCTACAAAACAGAATGCTGGGAGATAATGTTAATCAGGACGCGCACTGGCCGAGAAAGACATCAGCTGAAGGCCACCCAAGAAGAGAGGAAAGATTAAACCATTAACTATCCTTCGGAGATATCATTTGGTTTTGGGAAAAACACCTGTTTTATGTCAGAGCTGGCCATGATAAGAGTTTGTTGCCTGACAGATTTTGGCGACGGAAGCACGTAGGCATTAAGGAGACAGAGAGATTCACTTGACCAACCCCAATGATTATTTGACGAAAATCTCGTTGACGAATTCCAGATGAAATTCGGTTAAGATAGAGATTAAGGACCACACTACGATTCGTAGGAGTCAGGTAAAAAAAGAAAAAGAAGAAAAGAAAAAAAAAGGAAGATAATGATCGGGCAACACCTTAGCCGGTCGTCCAAGATTTCCAACACCGCAGCTGATCGTTAAAGATCGCTTTGATCTCAGACCTGCTCTATACCATGTTGTCATTTAAGTTTGATTATAAGGAGGCCAAGACTGAACAGTCCCAGGTATCTTCGTGTTGGGCGGGTCCAAGCAGGGCGAGGACGTACAGGAAAAAAATAACACGCAAATAAACTCGACGAAGTCTTAGAGAAAATTGGAGACAAAAAAGTCACTTATACTTAATATGAGATAGAAACAGTTGAAATGTCAAAGGCACGTAACGAGGAAAAAGGGCTAAGAAAAATTGATACCCACAGGAACTCAACAAAGACAGAGGAAAACAGCGCATGGCCTATCTAGCAAGTTTGAATAAGTGGCTGACAGAAGAGGGTTTGTGAGAAAGAACATAAAGACAAAATTTATTAAGAGCTACAAAGGACAGGAAGTTGTTGAGGGCAGACGGGACAAAGAAGATGTTGCTTGGTAAGGATAAATCCAAGATTGTTATTGTTGTTGTTATTTGTATTATTGAAAGCATTTCCGTAGTCAATTAAAAAAAAAATAAATAAAGGAACGCTTATCTCTACAGAGCTTTAAACTGTTCTCTCAGTAATCTTGCCGTATTTAGCCTCTGAATGCTTTGCATCATTTCTATCTTCTTACTATTTGTTCAAAGCTTTCATTAGGGATTTTGCGACCGATCACGCTGCCCCAAGAGGAGTTAAGATTGATTAGATATTTGGAGATTATGTGTCATGCAATAATGAGAGATAAAAAAAATAAAAAAAAAAATATGAGGAACGGACAGAGAAAGGAAAAAGGAGCAAATAAGAAAAGAAAGATGAGGAGGGGGGAAAATAGAGAAATAAAGGTGAAATAAAAAGAGTAGGAAAAAGAAAAATTAAAGAAGGAAAAAAAATGTGCATCATATGACAGTAAGAAATTGGGAGGAAGTAGAAAAAGAGAAGCAAAAGAAGAAAGGAGACGGTAAGATATATTTAGAAAGCTCGAATGATCAAAGATGAAAGAAAGAAAAGTGAATACAGAAAGGCAAATTGAAATAAAAAAGAGGGAACGCGGGATTCTTTTTTTTTTTTTTTTTTTAATTTCGTCCTAGAAATAAACAGAATGAACGAGTACAATGACAATGAATTAGAAAATGAAGGAATTTTTTTTTTAAATCTGGCATAAAAAAAAGGATAATGGGGGGAAAATAAAGACAGAAAGGAAACGAAATAAATAGATAAATGGAAAGAAAAAGGAACGAACTGATGGATGAGGAAAAAGGAAATAAAGTAACAAAGATGGAAGAAAATAAAAAAGATAAACTGCATACATGAAAGAAAGATCGAAAGGCTAAGAGAGACAGAAAGACCTAAAGGACGAGAAAAAAAAAGAAAGAAAAAACAGACCTAAAGGTAAAGAAATAAAGAACGTCCTAAGGACTAAAAAAGAAAGAAAAAAATGCCTAAAGGCAAAGAAAGAAAGAAAGAAAGAAAGAAAGAAAGAAAGACCAAAAGGATAAGAAAGACAGACAGACCTAAAGGCTAAGAAAGAAAGAAAGAAAGAAAGAAAGAAAGAAAGAAAGAAAGAAAGAAAGAAAGAAAGAAAGAATTAAAGGTTAATAAAAAAAGTCAACCAAAATAACTAAGAAAGAAAGAGATAACCTAAAGGCTAATAAAAAAAAAGAAAGACAGACCTGAAGGCTAAAAAAAACCTAAAGGCTAAAAAAGAAAGAAACAAACAAACATAGGCTTTGAAAGAGAGTCAACCATCATGACTAAGAAAGAAAGAAAAAGGCCTAAACGCAAAAAGAAAAAAGAAAGAAAGCATAAGAAAAAAAAGCCTAAAGGCTAAGAAAGAAAGAAAGAGGAACAGACCTGAATCCTAAGAAAGGAATTCAAACATAATGACTAAGAAAGAAAGAAAGAAAAACCTAAAGACTAAGAATAAAAGTCAGGCCTAATGACAAAGAAAGAAAGAAAGAAAAAAAGAAAGAAAGAAAGAAAGAAAGACAGACCTGAAGATTAAGAAAGAAAAACAAACCACAATGTTAAGAAAGGAGGAAAGACCTAGAGGCTAAGAAAAAAAAAGAAAAAAGACCTAAAGGCTTAGAAAGAAAGAAAGAAAGAAAGAAAGACAGTACGACCTAAGAACTAAAAGAGAAAGAAAGAAAGAAAAGAGGCCTAACGGCTAAGAAAAAAGAAAGATAGACAGACCTAAAGGCTACGAAAGAAGGATAAAAGACCTAAAGGCTAAGAAATAAAGAAAGAAAAGAGAAAGTCCTAAAGGCTAAGAAAGAGAGAAAAAAACTTAAATGTTAAGAAAGAAAGAAAGAAAAGAAAAGAACAACCTAAAGGCTAAGAAAAAAAAAGAAAGACAGGCCTAAAGGCTAAGAAAGAAAAAAAAAAGACTTAAAGGCTAATAAAGAAAGAAAATAAGACCTAAAGTCTAAGAAAGAAAGAATGAAAGAAAGAAAGAAAGAAAGAAAAAAGAAAGAAAGAAAGAAAGAAAGAAAGAAAAAAAAAAGAAAGAAAGGAAAACAAACCTAAAGGCTAGGAAAGGAAGTCAAACCTAATGACTAAGAAAGAAAGAAAGAAAGAAAGAAAGAAAGAAAGAAAGAAAGAAAGAAAGAGATAAGGCTAAGAAAAAAAAAAGAAAGACAGGCCTTAGGCTAAGAAAGGATGACCAACCTAAAGAAAGACCTAAAGCCGAGAAAAAAGAAAGATCTGACGGATGTGAGAAAGGGAATAAAACCTGAAAGGACTCGGAAAAAAAAAGAAAGAAAAACCTAAAATTTGAGGAAAAAGAAACGAAGAATGGAAAAGGAACGAAAGAAAGAAAGAATAAGGAAAAAAAAAGAAAGAAAATTAGGAAAAAGAAATGATTTAAAGACGTGATTAATATCGTAAATAATTGATCCGAAGAGTATGACAGAGAGAGACATCGAGAGATTGAGAGGGGGACGAGCAAGTAAATGAATTCGAAGAGAAAGGAGGCTCTCTCTGGGGAAGAGTCCTAGAAGCCGACCATGGAATCCTTTCTCCAAGTGCACACCACCCTGTTCAAATGTCCACTGGCCTATCAAATCAAAAGCTTGTTAATTGAATCTGCTGAACTTTGATATTCGCTCAGCGTTACTTGTTTATCAGCGGTCTTAATTTCGTTAGGATAACATTGCTCTTGCAAAGACGCTGACCATTGCCAGGGGGGAAAGGGTCAAGGGATAAAATGATTAAAATGAGAGAGGGGCGGAAATGTATATGGATATAGGGTGAGAGGGGGATACCGAGTAATAGTAAGAACTTGGGAAAGAGAAGATCCATCAAAGTAAAGTGGGAGGAAGAAGGATAGAATTGGAAAAACAGAGAGAGAGAGAGAGAGAGATAAAAAAAGTCGAATATTTTCTCTTATTTCAATATCAGGAGATTTTATTTAAACTTCCTTTCTTGTCTTTTTTTTAATTCCTTCTCATTTTATTTCCTTTTCTTTTCAACCTACTTTTCTGCTTCATTTCCTCCATATTTATTTTTCATTTCCATCATCCATCTTTCCGTACTCCTCTCTATCTGTTTTTCTTTTGTTCCATCTATTCTTCTTTCATTCTTCCTTATTTTCATATATATATATATATATATATATATATATATATATATATATGGATATATATATATATATATATATATAGGTTTGTTTTACCCTATCGTCATTCTTTTTCTTTTCTTTTTTTTTAATCGCCTACCTTCTCCATTTTTTTCTTAATTCTCTTTCGTATTTTTTATCTTTCATTTTTGCCTTCTATTGCTTGTCTTTCATTTTTGGTTATAAATGAAACAGGAAAAAAAAAACACAAATTATAAAAATGTAATTAAAATTAAAAAGAATCAGTTACGAAAAATCGAAGATTATTGATTGAAAACATTCAAACGAAAGAAAAAAAAACACGAAAAAAAGGCATATAAAAAAGAAAGAAAAAAGCATACGGAAAAAAAAGAATACGGATAAAAGAAAGAAAAAGAAAAACAGAGTAAAAGAAAGAAAATAAATAAAAGAAAGAACTTATATGAATGAAAGAAAGAAAGAATATGAATAAAAGAAAGAAAACGAATAAAAGAAAGAGAGAAAGAATATGAATAAAAGGAAGAAAGAAAGAAAACGAATAAAAGAAAGAAAGAAAGAAAGAAAGAATATTAATAAAAGGAAAAAAGAAAGAAGACGAATAAAATAAAAAAAGAAAGAAAACAAATAAAAGAAAGAAAGAAAGAATATGCATAAAAGGAAGACAGAAAGAATATGAATAAAAGGAAGAAAGAAAACGAATAAAAGAAAGAAAGAAAGAATATTAATAAAAGGAAAAAAGAAAGAAGACGAATAAAATAAAAAAAGAAAGAAAACAAATAAAAGAAAGAAAGAAAGAATATGCATAAAAGGAAGAAAGAAAGAATATGAATAAAATGAAGAAAGAAAACGAATAAAAGAAAGAAAGAAAGAAAGAATATTAATAAAAGGAAAAAAGAAAGAAGACGAATAAAATAAAAAAAGAAAGAAAACAAATAAAAGAAAGAAAGAAAGAATATGAATAAAAGGAAGACAGAAAGAAAACGAATAAAAGAAAGAAAGAATATGAAAGAAAGAAAGAAAGAAAGAAAACGAATAAACGAAAGAAAGAAAGAATATGAATAAAAGAAAGAAACAAACAAACAACTCAAGGTCAGAGAAAAAAATAAATAAGAAAGAAAGAACACAAATTAAGAGAGACAGATTATTTGAGAGTGTAAGTTGAGGGTAAACAGGTCCCATGTGGTATCATGCATATCTAAGTAGACCCACTGAGATCATTCGTAAAACTATTATCTATTATCAATGACAAACTTAATTCCTTTTCCCTCGTGTCTGTTCGTTATTATTAAAAGCAGCAGCATCAGTAACGCAACATCAGTGTAAGCATCACCATTCTCTTCATATTTCTCATTATCATCTCTTCAATATAATTTGATTGTTATATTCGCTTATAATCAAAGACTTGGGTTTTGACCATGTAATCGTAAGAGCACAAAAGAAGAGGCCACCCTCCAACATAACAAGTAAAAGCAGTATAAAAAGTACAGGATTTTGAGATTCAGACTGTTCATCCTATCCAAATCATTCGACTAGAGCTGGTGGATGACAAGGAAGACGATAACTTCTGTTTATCTGTGCATGCTTCTGTACTAGGATCTTGCGCGAGAAGTGAGAGGCTTTGAAAGATGAAGGGGAGTGTCATATCTGTAATAACTGTTGTATTTCGAACGATTCCGAAGAACCAAGGGACATGAAAGCAGGAGTCTCTCTCAATGTTGATGCCATCAAGACGATTATATAACGTCCGCTTGTCACTGCGACGACAAACGCCAGAGACATTTGGTGGGAATATGCAAATATTATAATAGTAATAATTGTAATAATAATAATAATAATTGTACTCACAAGTACAGCTCACACATTACGAAGAAATTTACTTCTGTAAAATGTGTGTGATATTCTTTTCTTTTTTTCTTTTTTTTGTTTTGTTCTTTCTTTTTTTTTTTACAAAACTGATCAGTGGAAAATGTCATGATGTCATTTCTGACCTTAGGTCTCTGGTTGGGACTCGGAAGGAAATGAGTATACAACAGAACTTATACTATTACTACTACTGGTACTACTACTGCTACTACTACTACTACTACTACTAATAATAATAATAATAATAATAATAATAATAGTTTAAAGACCTGGAAATCGAAATAGAAAAAATGTGGAAACAAAAATAGTACCAGTTCTGGTAGGTACGCTTGGAATGATAAAAAAAGAACACAACAACACATTGAAAAATTCCTGGACATCCCAGCTTAAGTGTAAGACAAAAAATGTCTTGATAAATAAAGCCCACACAATAAGGAGACGTTTGTCCATGTAACGCTAGGGAGTAAAAATTAAAATTTTAAAAATCATGAAATTTAGCTACAACACACCACTACCTGCCTTAAGTCATCCCGCAGATTTGGTAGGTAGTGTTACTATAGTAAAAAAAAAATTATTATTATTAATATTATTAATAATAATATTAATATTAATAATAATAATAATAATGATAATAGTGCGGTAGAAAATGACTGACAGAGAAGTTTATGAGATCTCTCTGTTCAGACAAATTCTATCATTAAAGCACAAAGACACGACCTTATTTCGGTAGATAAATAAATTAACATGTATAAAATCGTTGATTTTGCTGTCTCATACGATACAAGGATGGACTCCTAAGAAAGTGAAAATGATTGAAAAATAACAGGATCTGGCTTGGGATTTGAAAAAGCTATGGAACATGAATGTTGAAGAAATTCTTGTAGCAATGGGTGTGCTTAGAACACCACCTAGAAACTTTAAAAACATCTTAGGGAGAATTGGGAATTGAGACCAAGAATGTAGAGCTCCAGAAAACCGCTATCATTTAATCTGCAAGGATTCCCCGAAAAGTTCTTGAGTTGCGAAGAGTCTTGTTGACATTGCTTTAAAGAATAGATTTTCCATGGGCTACGTCAATATGAGATACCAGCATAAAAATGGAACAAGTATTATGAAAATGTGGTCAGAAAGAAGAAGAAAATTCTGGAATATAGCAAAGGGAAAATCCTGTGGAGTATTCCGAGATAGTTACAACTTTAGAGCTCAATAAAACCAGATTTGGTTTTGCTGGGCAACGAAAACAAAAAAACAAGACTTGCTACATTGTTACCTGTCCATTTGAATGAATTGAACACAAAGGTAAGGAAAATATCAACAAGTACAATGATTTAATGTCTGAAATTCTAAAAGTTAGCAGCAAAAGTAACTGCAGTACCAATGATCATTCGAGTACTGGAGTTTGCAAAAACCATGGGAAAATATCTTTGCAGGTATTGGATTATAATTTGAACAGAGCAATTGCAAAAAGCTTGTCTGCTTGGAACGGCCAAGGTATTTCAGAAAATATTGAATGCAAAGAACAAAGTATCTGTTTATTTTCTTAAGTTATGAGTGGTCACTAAAAAATATTTAACCAGCAATCAAAATTATATTCTCTGCGTAATAATAATAATAATAATAATAATAATAATAATAATAATAATTCACATAAAAAAGGCAATTTTAAAGAACACCTGTCTACTAGGATGGTTAGCCAATCCCTGCTGCAGACTACGGTTCAGACAGTTTTGTGCTTTAATATCCACGGTTTATAGTGCAACTATGCTTAGCGGACCTGATCAGCATATTTGAACGAATTCAGCACACTCACACCCTCGATCACGATAACTTGGCGGTTTTGAGAAGCGTGGAAACTTCTCTTAACTGCTTGTGTTCCCAGGCCCCTCTACTGCCTGACCCGGGGTGGTAGTACCTCTTAGGAGCCCAGCTGTGGGAAATGATAAAGCAAACAAAAATCAAAACACGAGAAAAGTATAAAAATAGTTCGTTTTGTTTTTTAACAAACATACCAGCAATATATTTCTATAAAAAACATTACCAACAATACATTTTTGTAGTGAAATTATCAGCTATACATTTTAAAGCAAAATGACCCACAATATATTTTGTAGTGAAATTATCAGCTATACATTTTAAAGCAAAATGACCCACGATAAATTTTTAGTAAAATTACTAACAATACAATTTACTAGTAAAATGACCAATTATACAACGTTAATTAATATTAAAAAATATTAAAAAATACATTTTTATTAACAATTTTCTAACAATACATTTTCTGTAGTGAAATTATTAGCAATATATATATATATTTTAAATTACCAACAATACTTTTATCATCGACAAATCATATATCTGAAAATGACACGCTTACTCTGAAAATATAAAATTATGTCCAAAATATATGTAACTGAAGTCATAAAATTGCGTACAAAATATTTAAATTTCTGCATTAAATAACCCATAGAGGTTGATATGCCGCTAAACAAAATCAACCAAATCACTCGTGTACGGAATAAAATAACTTCCTGTGAATGTGTAATGTCAGCGTTCAGGGTAATTGTTTAAAAGTCGAGGAAAGTTCATCGTTGAAGGAAAAAGTGATTCATTTGCGTGAATTTGATCTTCGATAGAGAGAACAAAAATCATTGTACGATTTAATAATAGAAGTTAATTTAACCTAGTCGGGCTGCTGGGTTGTGTCACTATCGGTAGCGCAAACTGAATTTGAATGTTTAGATAATTAAATAAAACGAAAGAAAAATGAAAGGAAAAGCATCCAGAAGAAATTTACTAAAAAGCGAGGAAAATATTAAGTCATTTCTTTCTTTGTCTGACTTTCTTTTTTTTTTTATTTATTTAAAAGTCATATTTTACCTTATAACATAATTGGTTTAATACTCTATTTTTGCTCCAATAAAGTTTACAGAAGACAAAAAGGGATTTTGATTGCTTTTTGTTACTTTTATATATATATATATATATATATATATATATATATTATATATACCTTCTTTTAAATTTTGATTTATATTATAGCGAAATTGATGAATATATATATATATATATATATATATATATATATATATATATATATATATATATATATGTGTGTGTGTGTGTGTGTGTGTGTGTGTGTGTGTGTATTAAATAAGAACAAAAAAACGTTGGTGAAACCAACGGAGAACTTCAAAATCTCTTATCCAGGTTGTCTAGAATAAAAACAAAATATTGAAAAAAAAGGCCTAAAGGCAAGCTTACCTACTCAGTGCAGTAGAGTACTCAGAGCTCAGATCGAGCATAAAAACGCCAACGTTAAATCCCTCTTCCTTATATATGTCTACATATATATATATATATATATATATATATATATATATATATATATATAATATTTTTGTTTAAAAATGTATGTTCCTTCATACATAAGTTCTCATGTTTCAAAAACGAGAGCCGAAACCATCCAAATAATTATTAAAATTAAGTTGAATTGAGGTATTTAGTCCCGTTTCATCTTCAAGCGAAATTTTTGGAAACATGAGAACTCTTATGTAGCGAAGGAATCATATTTTTAAACAAAAAAATATTATAATATAATCATCTACTTTTCTGCATATTTTGTTTTGAGCACTTATTAAAAAAAAAGTAATTTTGTTTATTGGAATATTATTCCATCTATAATATTAACCTCTATTCTAACCTGGATATATATATATATATATATATATATATATATATATATATATATATATATTTATATTTATATATAGGTAAAAGTCAGTAAGAAAAACTGTGTTATTAGCCGACACGTTTCGTCCAATACGGATTTTTCAAGGAAGAAACGAAATGAATTTATTGATAACAAAGTAATTATTAACAAGAAACAAAATGTCATTAGCAACTAGAAGAATCTGGAAAACGTTATTGTATTCATATTTTCAACTGAAAATTACATCAATATTTCTACACGTGAAAGTACTTGACGACATTTTTACGCTATCCCAAAGCTAAATAATGGTATTGAAAAATTTTGTTAGAAGTAAAAAAAAAAAAAAAAAATACTATTAAATGTTATGCAATATCCTCACTATATGGCAAGAATTGCTGGGCCGTCTCTTTGCGGAAGAAGACTTCAGGCAACAGAAATATGGTTCTACAGAAGGATGCTGAGAATACCATGAACTGAACATGCGAGTAACAAAGATTTAGGGAAAAATGGAATCAAAATGACGCTTATATATAGAATTAGAAAGCGATAATTTTTTTTTTTTAGGGTCCCAACTATGGGCAAATAGTTAACTCCAAACTCTGATCAA